GGGTCCCTGGCGCTGTGAGGCTGCAGTGCTAACCACTGAGCCATCGTGCCGCCCAGGTCAGTATACACTCAATGGACCGAAGGACCTCTTCCGCGCTGTGCGACTCTATGACTCTTGTTGCTATCAGTTCCGACCAGGCCATTCCATACTTCACAGAACATAGTCAGTCTCCTTGCTTTGCTGTGGTGATTTGCAATCCAACCTTTCAATTGAGGGGAATTAGGGATGAGCAATTTATGTTGGTCTAGCTAGTGATAGCTGCATCTCAGGAAGGCTATGCTGCAGGATAGAACGTGGGAGAAATCTGGAGTTAATTAGGGCTGGCCAACAAGGTTTGTTAGATTGTGTCTGACCAATTTATGACCCTCTGTGCTGAAGTGGCAGACAGATGTTGCTTTACATGCATTTTCACAATTATTTTGACAGCACATAAAAAGAGGATGTGTAAACGTGCAGGTATGTGGATAGGGGTACGCTTGGAAAGCATAAGGCTAAGAAGTGGGGTTTTAACTCAGAAGTTTCTTGGTTTAAGAAGAAGTAGTAAGAGATAATGTAGGATAAAGTGACAAGAGATAGCAGCGTGGAAAGAGGAAGTGAAGCCAGTGCAAGTGATTTTCTGGCTACAATTTTATCAATTTTGAATCAATTCAGGCTGGGTGACGGAGGAGAGGCGCTGGAGGAGGATGTTAAGTACATTAAGGTAGAGGGTGACTTCAGTATATATGGAAACACAAACAGAAGTGCACAGTTAGGAGTTACATACCTAAAGTGTTTCACTCTGTAAATAAATCTATTCCACGTAAAAGGCTGTTTTTGGATTCTTACTTTGATGTACAGGTAGTTCTCCTATAACGCAATAGTTGCGTTCTTGCGTGACCTTGCACCATAGGGAAATCGCTATACCTGTACAGCAGAAAGTTTGTGTTATCCAAATAGCGTACACTATTCAATCGCATTACAGTCAATTTGTGTTAATGAAACACGCATTATAGCAGAACTACCTGTACTGGTTATTCAGAGTCTAGGAAGCACCTCCAGGACTACTCCATTTAATGCATGTATTACAGAAAAAGAATTTGGCAATATATACTTCCTGTTATCCCCATATATAGTCACACACTTTTGTCAGTGCAAGAATTTCAGTAGAAAAATCTACAGCATTACAATTTTACTAAAATCACCCCGGAAACATTTCACGAACACATTTGGAATTTTGCCACTGCTAAAAGGAAAAATTTTTAAAAAAAGAAAATCGCAAGAATTCTCCACACTCCGAAAATTTTCCCTACACAAACAGCTCCTATTTCAATTGAGTAACTCTCTCCATGAAGTAGCAAAAATTATTTCTTTTAGAAAAGAAGTTTTCAGCATAAAGGCAGGATCACATTGCTCCAAGGCATATTACAGAGACTGCTTTATACTGAATGCCAAATGTCATTACAAGGCTATGCGATTACAAGCTGAACAATGGCGCTCTTTCCTCAACAAACAGAAACTGAAGTGAACTGACCAGCAGGAGTTTCACTCAGGGGAGGACAAGCTAGTAGCAAATGCAAAACACACCATAATCCCTCACACGATATTAGGCAGCAATCAGCTAGAAAACAGTAAATAAAAGTAGAATCCCGACAGTACAGAAAGAAGTCATTCGGCCCTTCAGATTTGCACTGACCCTCCAAAGAGCATCCAACCCACATGCACTCTTCCCCCTCAACCCTATCTTTGTAACCCCGCATATACTATGACTAATCCACCCAGACTGCACATTTCTGGACACGGTAGGCAACTCAGCATGACCAAGCCACCTAACTTGCACATCATTGGCCTGTGGGAGGAAACCGGAGCACCCGGAAGAAACCCACACAGACAGAGTGATACATGCAAACTCCACACAGTGCCCAAATGTTGGAATCGAACACAGGTCCCTGGTGCTGTGAGGCAGCAGTGCTGACTGCTGTGCCACCGTGTGGTCTTAAGGAAGATCTAACATATCCATAGCACCTTTCACTGCCTTGGGAAGTCCCAGAGTCTTTTCCAGCCAATGATTTCCATCACCAGTGCAACTTAGGAGACACAGAAATCCAGCTGTACACAGTAAGCTCCCACAAACAGCAACGTGAAGATGTCCAATCATGTAAGATCATCAGTCAGGTTCATAGTGTGATTCATTTGCACGTGCAGGTAGCTGTGTGCGTGTTCAGATACAGGACCTTGTTCTGCATAGGCAAGAGGATCTTGTACATGTATTGGAACACATTTTTCAGTGAGGTAAGAGCTGAAGGAGACAGCAATCCCTGATGCATTTCCCTATGGCAAAACCCTGACCAGAGACTACCAGCTTGTTCTGTCTTTGCTCATGCAAGTAGAATGACAGTTAAAAGATCCTGCATCATCTCCATACCAAACCAATCAGCACCTTCCTCTCCTGCTGTATAAATTGTTGTTCCCTTTCTAAACTTGGTTTCGAAAAGCTTTGATTTTGCATCTCTTTTTACAATTTCTAAGTCAGGTACTACCGAATGATTACTTGCAGACCAGATCATCTGATTTAGCGATGTTGGTTGAAGGATATTGGCCAAGAACACCAGTAGAGCACTCCTGTTCTTTTTCCAACAGTGGTTGTGGAATCCTTTATCACATGTAACAGTGGCTGTGCTAAAAAAATTTTACTGGTGCTTAACTCCTGTGTAATCCAAGCAAACCAAGACCTAAGGTAACAGAAGGCAAAATACAAAAAGCTAAAAGACTCTCTCTCTCCCTTGCCCTAATGATCGAAACTTGGCACTACTGCAAAGTACAGTATGCTTTGCTTATCAATTCACATTGCACAGATTTTAACTGCTTAAATTACAGTGGGGTACTATTCTTCCAGCTGCTCCCTGGGAATTGAAGATTGGACACTGTCTGCCAATAGCAGCATGTGTATCTACAGACCTGGATTGTACGGCCACAATGACACAAACCACCTGCACAAAGTTCTTTCCCCCTCCAAGCCACAAACTTGGTGCTGAGCTCCAAAATATTCCCAATAGATCCGAGAGAATCAGCAACCAAAGCCAGAGATAAAACACAGGTACGACATGGCAACACCTTTTGAGAGAAGTTCAAAATATGACAATGGTGCATGAGTAAGCAGACCAATGAACAAAACGTGGCCAAGGGAGCAGGTTCAGGAACAAAAATAACATGATGAAGCAGACAAAATGTCATACAGGCACAGAAGTCTAACTACATAGAAAAAGGCCCTTCGGCCCATCAGGTCTGCACCGCTTGACATCAAGCGCCTGACTAAAACGAAAAACAAAAGTCCATTTTCCAGCATTTTCAAAGTAACAATTTAAGAAGTAAAACACTGTGGGAATATGTTTTGTGAAACAGAACAAGGACTAAGAAAGTTCATTCAACAAAAAGACAGTGAACAGAGAAACCCAGGAGAGATAAAGCCAATAAACAATAACGTTTATTACAGCAGTTGCAAAGTTTAGCAGCCGTGACAAGAAATGGCAGGGCAGAATTGACTGCACATCCCGTGCTACGTAAGAAGTCGAGGATGCTTCCTGTGTCCTGGATGACCTCTTACAGGAGGGGTCAGTCATATCAGTACACAGTAAGAGGCAAAGTGCTGTTCATCATTCACAAGGTTGATAACCCGAGACCCCGTTTGCCCCTCAGGTGGATGCAGAGGTTCCTGTTTCAGTCCTGGATGGTCAGGGGTGTTTATGCCAACATCCTGTGAGAGGTGAATGTTGCAATCAACATCACTGAGGAAGAGTAACACATTGCAAGTTGTGAGAGCTTTAAGTGCATATGTTTCATGCATCCAGAGCACAGTACATTTTTGGTCCCCTTACTTGAAGGAGGATGAAACTGCCGTTTCAGAGAGGGTTCATTAGATGAATTCCGGAGAGGAGGGGTTTGTCTTATGAGGACAGATTGAGCAGTTTAGGCTTATACTTGCTCAGATTTAGAAGAATAAGCGAAGATCTAATTGGGGTCGACCAGATGCTATGGGAGATTGACAAAGTAGACAGAGAGGATGTTTCCCCTTGTGGGGCAATCTAGAACGAGATGACATTGTTTTAGGCTGAAGGGTAGCAGAAACGAGGAGGTATTATTTCTCTCAAAAGGGTGGTGAATTTGTGGCATTCACTCCCCCAGAGTGCAGTGGATGCCAAGGGAGTGAATAAATTTAAGGAGGATTTTTAATTAGTAACAGGTTAAAGGGAGTGGGAAGGAAAGTGGTGTTGAAGCCCAGAGGAGATCAGCGACGTTTCTGTATTGCATGGCAAGGCAGGCTAGAGGGGCTGAATGGTCTACGTCTACTCTGGTTCTAAATGTTTCCCACATTGCAATAGCACCGACATCTTAAAAGCACACCACTGGCTGCAAAGTGCATCGGTACATCCTGAAGGTACAAAAGGCACTATAGAAATGTCAGTTCTTCTTTTTTCCTTCAGCTAATATCAGCATTTTATCTGTCAGCCATGAGAAACACGGAGGCAACTGAGAAAGGGAGGCTCTCCAATTTGTGGGAGATAGCAGGTGTGGAAGTCTACAGTGACGATGAGTTATGGGCATCAGACAAATCAAAACGGATCCAATTCTCATTGAAATAACTGAGGGGAAAGCTGCAATGCTTTGTGCTCGCTTGACAAACATCCAGGCCCATGGAAACTCAGATTAAGGCCACAATTAAATCAGTCTTGATCTAGCTTATGGCAGAATTGACTCATCAAGGTCGATTCCCACTCCCATTTCTCTATGTTCCTAGATTTCACATCAGCTCTTCACAGAGCAATCTGACCAGTCCCATACCAGTGCCCCCAACCCGCACAACACCTGTTACTGAGGTCTACAGCACAGGAAAAGGCCCTTTGGCCCATTGCCACTCAAAAATAACCACCTAGCTAGCCCTCCTGCAAATTTATTCCCATCCAATCTTATTTCGGAATCATTTCCCATCTTGGCCTCAGATCCAGCACCCCACCTTTGCCTCAGTTTACCCTTCAGCTCCTGTCTGAATGATTGCTGTTGTTCTGGAAAGGGCCGACTGTCTCAGCAAGCACTAGCCCTTTGTTGGGAGAAGGGTGGTGGGGACCGGATCTAAAAGTTAAAGTTTTAAATTGGAGGAAGGCCAATTTTGACAGTATTAGGCAACCACTTTCAAAAGTTTATTAGGGAAGGCTGTACACAGGTAAAGGGATGGCTGGAAAGTGGGAAGCCTTCAAGAATGAGATAACAAGAGTCCAGAGACAGAATGTTCCTGTTAGGGTGAATAGTCAGGCTGGTAGGTGTAGGAAATGCTGGATGACTAGAGAAATTAAGGTTTTGGTCAAGAAAAAGGAGGAAGGATATGTCAGGTATAGACAGCAGGGATTGAGTGAATCCCTAGAAGAGTACAAAGGTAGAAGAAGTACACTTAAGAGGGAAATCAGGAGAGCAAAAAGGAGACAAGAGCTAGCTTTAGCAAATAGGGTTAAGGAGAATCAAGTTTGCAGAGGAATCCAAAATTGGTGGTATGGTGGACAGCCAAGGTTATCCAAGTACAACAGGACCAGATGGGCCAACAGGCTGAGGAGTGGCAGGTGGAATTTAATTTAAATAAATGAGGTGCTGTATATTGAATAGGCAAATCAGGGCAGGACTTATACACTTAAATGGTAAGTATTGCTGAACAAAGACAGAGGGTGCAGGTTCATAGTTCCTTGAGAGTGGAGTCACAAGTAGACAGGATAGTGAAGAAGGTATTTGGTATGCTTGTCTGCGTTGAGCATAGGAGTTGCAGCTGTATAGGACATTGGTTAGGCCCCTTTTGGAACATGGTGTTCAATTCTGGTCTCCCTGCTATAGGAAGGATGTTGTGAAACAAGAAAGGGTTCAGAAACGATTGACAAGTATGTTGC